TGTTCTACTTACATTTCAAGCTGGTTAGCGTCACAGGATAGCTTTTTCTTTTGGTTCGGTCTCACTTCAGTTATGAAAAAAAATTCATAGATAATCAATTTAATTTCACAAAATTGAGACTGCGTCATTTACAATTTAATCTATTTTTATTTAATTTAACACGAACCTGAACTAAATTATCACATTTTCGAGGACGCAATAACAATAAATTTTCACTAAAAGATTGCTGAACTAAGTTAAAACACCTGCTCCTCTCCGAGTGATCGAGTTTTCTTTACTTTCTCTTTTGATGTAAGTTATTATATCCAAGTTTCTTAACTTACTACGGGTGTTTTTAAAACTTAGGGAAAACTGTTCGAAAGATAACATTATTTAAGGCACATATCAGGCCACGTTTTGACTTTTCACTCGAGCATGCTTTCATTTGTGACTCAGACCTAAGGTGTTACTCATTTCTGTAAAGATACTGCTCCTCTCCGAGCGATCGAGTTTTTTTTAAATTTCTCTTTTCGTGTTAGCTATTATATCCAAGTTGATTAACTTACTACGGGTGTTTTTAAAACTTAGGGAATGCTGTTCGAAAGATAACATCATATAAGGTACATGTCAAGCTAAGTTGTCACTTTTCACACGAGTATGCCTTCATTTCTGACTCAGATCCAAGGTGTTACTCATTTCTGTAAAGATACTGCTTTAAGATAACTTTGTTTATTTTTTTATCGAAAAAAAGTGAAGGCCTACCTTTATCTCAAAGTCTTCAAAACTGGTGTTTATATTCTTTGGTCTAAATCTTCTGTTACTGTAATAACCATCATGGTTCAAACAAACTTAACAAAACACTAAATTCTTAAACGATGTTTATGACGGTGAATAATTTATTGGCCGATGATTGGCATATGCATCTCGTTCATCAATATTTCAAGGTTTTCTAATTTTCCCTTTTTTGAGAAATCTAATTCTTGTCAAATTTTTCAATTTTGTTTCATCGTACCAGATTTATAGAGAGGTAACCACTAATAAAAGTAACAGATGTCTCGGTGTCTTAATTGCACCACTGTGAAGGTGACGGAGGAAAATATTGAAGAAACTTATATATACATTGCAAACAATTAAATATTATGACAATGGTCGCGCGCCGACATTAATGTGAGGATTAAAAGTATACTTTCGAGCTTATCGAGTTTCATTGGACATTTTATCACCAAGTTCAATTAAAGCATTTTGCGTACTTATCAACAATCACACTTTTTACTGAATTAGGCAGAAATAAGTAAACGTGTCACAAGGTTGATAAGGAACTGGTCATAATTTAAAGCCTGGGGGGGAGGGGAGTGTAGTTGGAGGAATTTGGTTGTGTTACGTTAAAAATTTACCTGAAATTCTTATGATCTCCTCCTCATTGGCAGTTAATTGGGCGGTTACCTGGCGGTCAAATTTTAACAGTCCTACTCTGTTGGTGACGACTAATCCCCCCCTCTCCTGTGTTTCCAATTAAATTAATCATCGTTATCACACAATAACGTAAACCGAAGCTGGTCAGATCTATGATTGGTGCAAAACTGTTTACCAAGTTTTGTTATCCGGTATTTTTTCAGTCTCGTCGTTTGTATCATCCTTACATGGTCAAGGAAGGTACTTTCCTTTGAGAAGTTGCCTGTGTTTTTGGTCCTCGGGAACAATGTCTACCTTTTCTCATTTTAAGCGAATCCTTGTTCGTCAGCCTTTCCCACCTGGTTTCTTCATTGATCTTTCCCCAAAAAAGCAATGAGGCTTATAAAGTTTAGCATGACATGAATTTGCATGAGGGTTTGGATAGAATTAACTAACGAGCCACAAATTTCCATTATTAAACGGAAAACTGAAAAAAAATTGAGAATATGAGCAGCAATTGACTACGGCACTTAAAACATTATACTGATAAAATTAATCATCATGGTTACGTAATCAGCCAACTCATCTGAATCCAAGTACCACGTTTAAGTAATCTTTCAACAATAAATATGTAAAATCATCCTTTTAAGGATATCTACCTTTACAAATTAAAATTTGTAAAATATGATATTTACTGCCTAACATAAAGTGAGATAATGTAACGACAACACTTTTTTAAACATTTAAGTATGACCGAAGGGCGAGTGCAATTTGAAGTCTTTGAAAAACTTGAGACAATTGATCACCTGCTGACTACCAGTTAATAATTAACAGACAAATCTTTGACTCTGTTTTCCTCCATTAGGCTTGCGTGCGTAAAACACCTTTGTTTGCTTCATTCTATCAACATTTTCGTCATGGCCCCTTTGAAAAAACCTAGGACCTTTATACCTTCGGCCAGTTTTTTTTACTTTTCTGGTAGTTTTTGTTGTTTGCTTTTAACTTCAAACTCTAGAGAAAAACATCGTTACTTTCACTCAAACTGTCCGCCACTTTAGGCTTGCGTGCGTAAAACCCCTTTTCTTTTTGCTTCATTCTTTCAACATTTTCGTCATGGCCCCTTTTAAAAAGCCCATCACGAGAAATCGGATTAACAACTTTAAGGTTCACGTATCGCGAACAGCAAGGAATTCACATTTAACGGGGTTTTTATTTCGTATTTTCACAGGTCATGTCACATTAATTTATTCCGCATCACATCCCGTCTACAATGTATATCTTTTATTACTATACCTACTATGACTCAAATTACACACAACATACTACTACCCCACCCGCCTTTCCAGTCACTACTTGGGAAAAATGAATAAAACGGTTAACACATGTTAAATGAATAACTCTTCGCTTAAAGAGCTCATGAGTTTTTTGATTACAACTTTGCAGCTCAGAACTGCTAAGTCTTTGAATGATTTCCCATTTTAACACGATGAAAGGAAGCGAGAAGAGGTACTCAAATATTTCTCTAAGTCAGTTTTGCATTAGGTTATGTTGTTGTTTGGGCAAGTGAAAGCCTGGTGGTATTGCCCTTCAACGAGAATTATTTTCTTAAATGCAGCAGTTTAGTGTTATTTCTTTTGGCGATAAAAAAACTCTATTAATGGACAGTTTTATTTAAGCTAGGTGTTTTACTACAGTACCAGTTATTACGTAACTACGTAATTTTTACATAATTTTGGCGAGCGAGTGCTTAGAATTTTCTTAAAAATTATGGCCGTCATCTTTGATTTTAATGACCGCGGAAGGCTGGGGAGGGAAAGAAATTTGTGTCAACGGGGCTGTCGTCGGTCAAAATTAAGAAGAGGGGTAGGGGTGGAGAACTGCAGATTATCCCCCTACCTCCAACATCCATTATAACTCCAAATCAAAGCTTACAACGTTCGCTCACACTAATTAGACGCCTGCACAGCAGGTAAGATGTGACTGAGGCATGCAGTAAATTTGATCAGCACTCGAGTAGCTTTAGATGCTCTCACTTACGCCTCGAGTAACTTTGGCGCATCTTTCATGCTTTCAAAACCCAAGCTAAGTTGTTTTCGGCCACGTCTCGAGCAATCTTTCGTCTTTCTTTAAATCTTCTGGTGTGCTTCATATGTCAATGAACAAAAGTTTACGAATGAAACGGCTGTGAATTGGTGATATTTATAGTGTTAGATCAACAGTATCCACCATGAGAGACATAAGTTTCTTCCCCTCGCTTAGAAATTCACTCTTGTTTTTCTTGAAGCCGTCTTCGTAACTAATGCACCAAGCAATCTTCTATCTTTCATTAAATCTTACAATGTGCTTCCTATATCAATTAACGCAAACTGACGCATGAACCACTCGTTAACAGTTGAGATCCATTGTGAAAGATTGACAGCATACTCAGAAGAGATAAGAAAGAGATCTTCATTTTCCGTCCCTGGTTTGGCAATCCTCTCCTGTTGCTTCAGAAACCTGTTACGAAACAAAAGCATGATTAAAGGTTTGCTACACAGCACTGTGGAAAACGTTTCTATGACATCAAATAACTCACTGTAAAATGTCTCCAAAAATCAGGTCTTAATAACAAAACGTTCTCACTTGAGCACTAACAAATCCGTAAGCTAATTTGCATAAGGCGAGGCTGCTATGTTAGTTTTTCACGAGCTTGTCTCGCAATATAAACGAGCATCACTGTTTTCATAAGGAAATTTAGGCAGAATTACACGATATTGCGGCCTTTAAAGATTCTTAAATACCTTGGCAACCATACAGCTCCACTCTCATGGCTATCACCCGGTGCCAAGCCAATGGTCGGAAACGAATGTAACGCGCCAGGATTGCTGGAATAAGGTCATGTGACACTACAGTGGTACCATCTGTGTTTCCAGATAATTCCTTTAAACAACATATATACGTTATTGACCAGGTCTGAGGTCAACGTGGCTTGGTATTGGCCGAGCTCCTGTTTTTTTTTGGGCATTTTTATGGACTGAGACAAAGTCGAAGTCTATCAAAACGCAAAATAGAACGACGCGAGTCTTTTCATATTGCCCACGGCTGCTGGCAGTATAATAGCCATCCATTTCAAAGTATTTAAATATATTTTCAAAACCAATTTCATGTAAAGATCATTAAGCACAATGACTAACCGTTATACTTTGTCCTCGTTCTTTGTAGTACTGGAAGGTCGACCCGTCGCTACTGTACAGCAGATTATATTTGGTCACCCAATGAGTGAGCTGGTATCTTCCTTGAGTTCCCACGCGAGTCACGCCGTGTTGTGTGACCAAATCAATCTGGAGCCACTGATTTGCGTCTGATGTTGATGGTTCCCAGGCCTCGTTGTGTACATTTTGAACTGCTTTATTGTGGAGTCTGGCGTAAACAGCAGCGTGGAATATACTATACTGTGACGAGGCACTAATTTGACCGTCAAGGATTGCACGGCTTTCCATACCGAGGGCGCGGTGACAATCTAAACGTTGAACGAGTCGAAATCGTTATTGTCAATATACAGTTGGTATATAGAACATTAGGTGTAACCATGCAATTGTGTGTGAGGCTTTAGCTGAAGTAATGGCGGGGTAAAATACATTGTCTGATTTAAGAGAACATCGACTTTCCTACTTACAAAATAATACGATACTGATGACATAGAGAAAATTGTGTTAAGAATCACAACATTTAATAACTTTATTGAAAAACGTAAAAGTTTCGAAAAGAGACCATGATGCTCTCTTGATTCGACTAAGAAGGCTTGTTAAAACAAAAGTCTCTATTACCATGACAACCATACAGCTCCACTCTCATGGCTATCTGCCAGTGCCAAGCCAATGGGCAGAAACGAATGTAACGCGCCATGATTGGTGGAATCAGGTCATGTGACACCACAGATGTACTGTCGCTGTTTCCTGAAAATTCCTTAAAGAATATAGAGATGCCATGAAATATTTGTTGCTTTAGTGACAATAGCTGGTCTCTCTTGTTGACCCTAGACATGTTTGAGGCTTTCGTTTCGTTTTATCTTTTGATCGAAACTGTCCTGATGAAACATGTGTCGAAATGTTTTGGAGTCTGTATTGGAGTTTTTATTGCTTAGTCATACTTTAAACAAAGCAGACAATTTAGCTATCACAAATTAATTATAATCTCAAATAGTATTTTTTGCAGATACTGGAGCAATGATTTGCTGAACCCAAAATTTTCGCACTAACCTACCACATAACCCATAAAAAATAAACTGCAAGGCCAAATATCTTCTCAATGACTAACCTTGCTTATATGTTTTCCTCGCTCTCTATGAAACTGGAAGGTCGACCCGTTGTTACTATACTGTAAATGATAGTTAGTTACCCAATGCCAACGATCATGTCTTCCCTGTGTTGCCACCCGTGTCACGCTGAATTGCGTGACCAAATCGATCTGAAGCCACTGATTGGTGTTTTTTATTGATGGTTCCCAGACCCCGTCGCTGTTTGTGCTTGCTTGATTGTGAAGTCTGGCGTTAGAAGCAACATGACGGGAACTATATCTGGTAGAGGCGCTTATTTGTCCGTCAGTTATTGCACGGCTCTCCATGCCAAGGGCGCCCTGACACTCTAAACGTGAACCGCATTTCAAATTGGTATATGAATGAGTAAGGTTAAATAGTCCGGAGTCATTATTTAATTATACGTAGCTATCAGTCCTCTGCTCGTCTATCAGGGAGATTCCAGAAAGGAAGGGAACCTTTTGATTAATCTAAGACTCGATTAAGTTGCAGCATGAAAAGATAGCTCACAGAATGTGAGGCTGTAGTTGCATTATTGATCAAAACTGTTTTACCCTGCTCACAGATCTGGCCAATAAATCCCGAACAGTCGCAGATGAATCGTTTTCCGGTCTCCTGACAGTTTTCCCGACATGTTCCTCCATTGAGACACGGTTGATCTTTGCAACAACGGTTGGAACACTGAGTGCATCCAGACGATGCTGAAACTGCAGAATTGCTCTGAGACAACAAATCAGTTGATTTGATTTTTTAGCATGGCTAAAGACTCTCTCTGATATTTCATATACAGTATAAGCTTGTCTTATCCGAGCCTTATTTATGATATGACTGAGAATTTTAATAAGGACAAAATCCTGACTGGAAACTTTTGAAAATATTCTCATATTTTGAAAAGAAGTTATTCATGCCGGCTAAACATCATTTCTCACCGCAATGTTGTAGCGAACGACCAGATCGTAGTACTGAGAGTCTTCCATCGCCTGCAAGGCACCGGGCTTTAAATGTCGGTTTTCCTTATTCAGTTGACAGTTATCTTGGTTGGAATATTTCAGGAAGTTGAAGGAGATACAGCGGCAGTTTGGTTGGCATGCTCTGTAGCAATCTATCACTTTGGTCACTGAGACATTGGCAAACACGTGACCAACTAGGGCGTGGCCATCCACCATGTTCTCTCCGATGACGAGGTGGAATGTTGCGAAACAGTTGCCGCTAATGCAAGAGCCCGCGATGAATGGAGTAATGAATCCAGCGGTTATGAAGAGTGAGCTGAAGGGACGAAACAAAACTTGGAAACTTCCCCTAATGAATTAAAGTTTCATGAAAAGTGAAGGGATTTGTTTCATAATGATCATCACCATGCATGGATCGGCCTTTACAAGCTGTCATATGACTTCTTATCTGACTCTGCATCTATCTCCTGCGACTAAATTTTTCATAACGGAAAGTTTGGCATGCCGCAAAATTCTAGCACAAAAATGTTTCTTTTAAATCGCCATATCAGTTATCATATTCAACATTAGCACGAAGCGTCATACTGAATTATGTAATCTGTAATTTTTTTAAGCTATGGGAAAAAAAACCTATAAATGTCTTACAAACGACCAGAAAGGATCCTTCTTAGAATAGTTAAAAAAAAAAAGAAGAAGTTTTGGTTGTCGTTCATATCCCCACGGGATCCGGCACGGTTTCTCGCCTAGTAATATCTTGAGAGATCCTAGGCGGGAGACTCGAAAGATCCTAGCGCCGGCACCGGAAGGATTCTGGTGAGATCTCGGTGTGGTGTACAACCGGGATACCAATAACCCTGTCTTAGGCGATGGACGCTTTACATGGGGTCAATTTTCACTATTCCTCATGAGAGATGGCTTAGAGTTCGACTCCGTAGGAATTGATGAAATAAATTAACGAGTTCTATTAATCAAGCTCTTTGTATTATACTTACATCGCCAAGTAATTGTTTTCGTCAAAGAGGTTAAAATTGTTTTTCTTCCTTTGAGAACAATTTTCTTCATCTACCCGGACTTCACAGCTGGTTCCTTGGTTTTCTTCCCAAAACGCAAAGAGAAATTAAGTTCTAGCATGACATTAACATATAGATGGGATTCACTAAGAATATCAATAAATTGCCAAGAGTTGAAAAATTAACTGACAAAAATTTGGTGAGAGCTGATCCTGGCATCTTCTCAAGGCATAATCTTTAAGTCCATTAACTCAATCGAGAAGCAGATGCAGTCTTAAAAATAGCACACGTATTAGTACTATACCAATGCCAAAGAGCTCTCCAGGTCCCAGTTGTTTAAAGGGAAGATAACGCTATTCAACAGATAAAAAAACAAAAACACCAACCGGACTAAGTACATTCGACTGACAACAACCTTTCACTTGACTCTGATGATGACTTCCGCTCAGGTTATCGAAACGTCAGTCACCACTACCGACAACAGTCCTTCTCAGGACTACACTCACCCGGACGATCAAACTACACTATTACAGGATAAATCGCCATCCAGCGGATAGGCGTAAGCAAAGTGTGTCATCATGGATTGGAAAGAGATTTATCCAGTGGATAGTGTTATCTATCCTTCGAACAACCAGGTCTAGGGCGAGAATTTGAGGCCAACGTGTTTTAAAAAAACTCACCCCAAATGGTCTAAGATGATGGTTACTTAATCAACCCACTCGTCTGATTCTTTTGATGTATGAACACTGAAAAATCGGGAAATGTTAACGAACATCATTTAAAAGGATAAAATAAAACTTATAGAATTCGGTGCAATCATGTATCGGATAACCTGAGTCCTAAATGAATTAACTTAGTAACTTAGCCTCTAAAAAGTCGCAAAACCCCTCGAATACTACTTTGAATCGCTAAAGCAATATGAGTTTGTAAACACGGATCAATCACCCCTAATATTTTTACTTGGCCTGTAAAGAAAGCACGGCAATGACTTTCAAATCATTAAAATGAAAAACAAGAAAGGGCTGGTACCTTACGCCGAGAAATGTCTCCTTTTTAAGAGCGACTACCTAAGACTGGTCAAGATTGGTCCAACCCTGTTTTTTTTTTTTGTTTGTTTCTTTATCGAGCGGTGTACTCGGTTATTTAAAAAATTCCTTTAATAAATAATTGATAACCTTTAATTAGGGGTAACAATTAGGGGAAACGAATGATATCTTGAATTAAAATCGCGAGGCTCGTTAAAAATTTTCACCCAATCTCGATTGAACTCTCGTCAACGATGGCGACGAGTCTTAGAGTTTGGCAATTTTTTGAAAATTCTCCAAGTTTAGGACTTGCTCTCATAGCTAAAGGTCTGGGGAGAGAAAGATTAGCTCGGCATTAGCATTGTGAGCGACGAAAGTAATTGTAGGATCGTTGTCTTAGGAAAATATTATTATGCAATAATTAATATATCTCAAAAGAGAACGCAAAAAGAGGCCGTGGTAACTGTAACGCGATAATTTGTTGTAATCAGGAGTAATGGGCTCCTGCTGTAATAAATTACAGATACCTAACTGTCATATCTAGGAAGAACAACAGTTATGATATTGAATTGCAGTGTTCCAAACAAGGGTGTCAGCATTTCGGGAGTCTCGGATTATACCATTTGCCATCCCCATGATTAAGAACTGGAACTTTTATGCTAATTAATCTTATGTTTAATTTTTTATGAGGTTATATCTTCGTTTGGCAGGTACTGAACACGATTAACAGTAGCCCCTTTTTAGATGTAGACCTTCATGTTCATTGCGCTCTAACAACGGACGCTATTTCACGCAAACTTTCTGCTGGCGATCAAACTTTAGCGTAATGCAGAAAGTACTAAAATACAGAGCGACTCATGAAGTTGGTGGGCATTTTTAGGTTGCTGATTTTTAAGTATTTACCGCTCAGTAACCGACAAAGAAAACGTCCTGAAAATGAGACATAGTTTGAAGCTACACTGGTTTGCAGATTTAATGAATGTAACCAAAGAAGTTACAATTCATAGACCCAACGTTTCGACACTCCTGTCTAGTGCCTTCAAAATGGCCTGTCTAGTCCTGAAAATGGTTCTTGTTTTTTTGTTGGAAACCTGAAGTACTACCCCTGCCTTAGTACCCACCTCGTCAGCTCCACGCATTCGTCTCGAGTTGGAAGATATTCTTATTCAGACTTACCCAGGCAGCCTTTCGATATTATAATTATAGTATACTGAAACATTTGAAAACACGTAACTAAGCAGTGCGTGGCCGTGCACCATGTTCCTTCCGATGACGAAATGGAATGTGGCAGAAAAGGAGGTTGTACAGAAATTGTTTCTTTACAGCTTGGGAAAAATTGCTACCTTTTCTAATTTTGCCTTTGTATGTCCTTCTTAGCTGATTCCTTGGTCTTCCTTCCAAAAACAACAGGAATGATGAAGTCTTACACGACATGAACATTATATAATAGAGAGGTCTGGATGGAATTAACTTAGTATTGACAAATTGCCAAAGGTTGAAAAAAATTGCCTAAAATTGAAGTAACCTGAGTCGACTTTGGTCAAAGCCATAGCTCAACCCAAGGGCTCAAAAGGTATATTTTCAGTCCTTGAACCCAATTCGAGAGCTAAATACAGCCATGGTATTTTTCAATTCTTCAAACCTGAGAAAAGGAGAATCGTAATATATATGTATATATATATATATATATATATATATATATATATATATATATATATATGTCAGTGTACTAAACACATAATCGCGAAGGATTTTTCGATGCACAAAGAAACTTAAAAAAATCACTATGATCGAGAAACACTAGCCAATGTTATTTGAGAGTGTCAAAAAATACTGGGAGAATACTGTGAGTCCTTAATGAGCGAGATTCTCTTAATGAGTTTTCTGAAAATTCATGCAACTCTCCAAACGGTTCTTTAAATCAACTTGAGAAGTAATAAATGAAAAAACAGTGATATTCTTCATCCTTGCCTCATCAACTTATTAAGAGTCGCAGACCGTCCAACCCTGAAACAGACTTTACTTTACACCGAAATCTCCTTCAAGTACCAAATCCCGGCGTATTTTTGATCAAGCTGGCGCGGCGATCCAATATTATTTCAGTGTATTGTAGAACAAAAAGAACTAAAGCAAGGAGTGACTCATCAAATTGTTTTAAATCCTTATTTGGCTTACTTAGTTTTACGTATTCAGCTCAAAAGAATTATACCTCCAGTCACTGAATCGTACCTCTGCCCCACCCCCTACTCCGCCTGCTTTGCGCATCGCACTTACCCTTGAATGACCTTCAAGTGACTGACACGGTCATAGACCTGGGCCGAGGAGGTTGAATCAGCAAGGCATCGTTTCCACGGTCAGCATTAGATTCCATCAACACGATCTCCACTGCAAATGAAGGATTATCATAACTTCTCAAATGACAT